GCCCCCAGCGGTGCCTGATGAGACTGCAGTGGTGGCCGAAGAGGCTGCTGCGCCCCCAGAGCTGATGCCGGCTCCCTCCTTGATACGGGCTCCACCCATCCTGCCTGCCAAGCTCCCAGCTCCGCCTTGGCCCCCTGTCAGGACTCCAGAAGCGGGAGAGTCTGCTTGATCTGTCCCTCCGGCCCCGCCCTGGCTGTCTGCTGGGGTTCTTGTTAAGCTGGAGCCTCCCTAGTCTGTCCCTCCGGCTCCGCCCTGGTGGTCTGCCGGGGTTCTTGTTAAGCTGGAGCCTCCCTAGTCTGTCCCTCCGGCCCCGCCCTGGTGGTCTGCCGGGGTTCCTGTTAGGCCGGAGCCTCGCTGGTTCATCCCTCCGGCTCCACCCTGGCCCTCTGCCGGGACTCATGGACTGCCTGAGCCTCCCTGGCTCAACCCTCCTGCCCCTCCCTGGTCCCTTTAATGACTTTCTGGGCTGTCCTGCTGGCACTGGCTTGGCTCCCCTCCCTCCCTCCCCTCTTTGTCTCTGTGTTTTGGTTTCTCCTGTCTTGTGTTGTCTGTTGTTCTGTGTCGGTCTTGTGGTGTTACGTTTGTGCTAGTCTTGTGTTTTCATGTCATGTCATGTTCCTGTCTTGTTTTTGGTGTTCCTCGTTAGGGACGCCAGGTGGCGTTTGATGGGAGGTAGTGTCAGGGTTCTGTCACTTCGGTCTAGTGTAATTCATGGTTTTGTGACAGAGCCCTGACATTCCCATCGTGTCATTGTTTTCATGTGAGCGTGCGGCTTCGAGAGTGCTTGAGCCGTGCGCTCTCGTCTGTGTGTCCTGTTTCATGTTGGAGCGTGGTGTTCAGATCCCGGCACTCATGTCTTGTTGAGTTTCGGTTTCGTGTCGGGGTCCGGACACTCGCGCTCCATGTTCTGTCTGGTTGTGTGAGCGTGCGGTCTCGAGTTCGCTCGGCCGTGCGCTCTTCTGTCCACGTGTGTTGTGTATTGTGTAGCACGCGGTTTTTGTTCAACCGCGTGCTTTTCTTGTTGTCTTGTGTCGTTGTTGAACAAAAACACAAGCACATGGCCAGCAAAACAATCACAAGCCATGTGCTTGAACAAAACAAGACACGAACACGCAGCTAATGAGAAAACTCATAAGCCACGTGTTCACACAAGACAAGATAGCACGCAGCCAGTGAAAACCAAGCTGCGTGCTACACAGCACAAGACCAAACAGGACATGAAAGCATGCAGCCGATAACACGAGGTTATTTTGAACTTGAAAGAGATGGTCATTTTGAAATGTGATTGTGTGGAAATGAGCTGCATGAAATTTCTTGAAATATTCTCCTTTATTATGCTTCACAGGAAACAATAACAGCATATGGGTTTGGAACAAAATGAGGGTGAGTAAAAAATGGTTTTTTTTTTGGGGGGGGGGGGTGAAGTATTCAGTATTATTATTACATATTTAGTATTAGATATTTATTCTATGAATTATTTTTTTTAAATGCTAAATGAATTAAGTCCAAAACTTTTACAGACCTCCCTAACTGAAATAAGTATTGTAAATGCTGTATGTAGTATGTTTCATATTTCATGATATTACAACTTAAGCTGTACAAATCTTGGAATTTCCCAACTGCTGATCTCCTGTATGTTAGCACATCACCCATGACCAAGATTACAGGCATTAGAGGTTGTTTTCTGCCATACGGGGCCCAGAGCTCTACTCCTTCAGCACACTAATATGGTTAATTAGCTTCTCAGACAGATATAGGGAGCAGGAACATAAATTCTGGCCTGCGCTCATAACATCATACACATGCCTCTTTCAGAGTGAAGCGGGAAAGACTTGTTTGTTAACATTAATGACACGGATAGGTACTTAATTAGGAATGCTGTCCCTATAAGACGGAAGGTATGCATGTAATACTGACACACGATCAGTTTTCACCCAGTTTTACATTCACTTAATCCATAACCGACTGTATTTACATGAGATACTCTACACGATAGACATTTGGACTGCTGCGTGTGTATTTGAGCACTGAGAACTGATCGGGCGCTGTATATGAGAACTGAAGAATCGGAGCGTGCGCGAGAGAAATTAGTTTTAGCTCGTCAACGTCTCGTCTTAGTCACAGAAAAATTTTTCGTTAACGAATATTTTTCATCGTCGTCTTCGTTGACGAAATTAATACTGGCTTGGCCACCCCATATTTTCTTCATTTTTATTGAAACGAAATGTCTTTCCGATCTGATATGTGATGGAAAAAGAGAGAAGAATGAGTTCAAAGTGAGAAGGCGGATCCAAACTCGGGTTTGTCACATCAAAAGATGCAACCAAGCGTTTTACGCCCTACGACCACGGAAGCGGTTGGTTGTGTGAAATGAGTTTTTGTCTTTTTATTTTTTGGCCACCCCAAAGAAATCACTGGGTCTTATCTGGCCACCCCTGAAAAAAAGTTCTGGCTCGCAGCATCCCGTTTCGGTGCATGTCTCTTTAAATGCTAATGAGATCTGCTCACCCCGACCCTCTCTTCGGTTTTTTGGTGTAATCGGTGGGCATTACCATCGAAAAAAATAAAAAAAATCAATCCACTGCGTCCTCAGTGGCTGTGTTGTCAGGAGAAAATTAAGACTCTTGGGTTTCACACCGCAAGCAAAAATAGACTCGGTGCTGAAACCATCGCTTCATCGCTGCTCACGTGACGCTCCGGCTCCCGGTGTGAATGCACTCATTTGTTAACAAGAAAATATCGGACAACATACACCTGGCTGATGGCGGAGATATGCTAATACGGGACAGTCCATCAGCGACCGTGGGCGGAGCTTGAGCAATATGACGTCATACTACCCAGAAAATCAAAACGGCTTGACAATTGAGACTGTTTAGGTTTTTGGGGGATTATAAAAATGGATTTTTAGGTTGGTTGTGTCCACACACTGCTAAGACACATTTATATGCAAACACCATGAAAAGTGAATTTTGCATCCGATGTCCCCTTTAAACATTTATAATACAATACATGTATTATAATGTCTTGCTCAATATAGAATTATTTTTAACTGTATGGTAATTTAGAGTTTTTACAGGTTTTTACTGAAGTGTTTTTCTCTTTTTCCATTGTGCAAATATCAGCTGCCCTATGCACTAATTCAGAGGATTCATTCTCATCCATGTCTTGCTCATCATGCTCAGTTGGTGTACTTTGGCCATTATCCAAGTCTCACAAATCTACATCCTTCACAAAGACCTTGAGCCGTGCCCACCAGCATTTATACTGCCCTGCAGAATTAAACCACAGAGTCACCAACTAAAGAGAAAAGTTTTTTGATTGAATTATGATTGATCTTATATCAAATTTCACACTTTAGAATGTGAGCATAGCAAAGCCAAACCCATCTGTCATAGGATAGACTTGATTTGGCTCAAAACTCAATTTTGACAAAATGTACGGTTAATGTGTGTCACTTATGTACACCAGTATAGAATAATGTAGTTTTTATTTCTATTCTACTGACACGACAGTTTTGCAATGCATTCATCTTAGTGTGACCATAATTAAATAATTTTCTCAGATTTCAGATATTGTGTGTTAATGCAATCTCACAAACATTTAGCATCATGGAAAAGCTGTATAGCAAATTCATGTCTGTATAAAAACAGAGTACAAAAGCACATTTGATTGAATTAAATCCTGTGTATGCCATTCTTGGTTTATATATAGTAATTAAGCTGTCATTAAGCTGTCATGCAGCCGTTGTATTGTGAGATGTATTGGTTGCTCATTGCAGCTTGTAGGATCTCTAAAATATAACTCTTGCCTCATCTAGGTCACTTTAAGTGTTTGTTTGTATAACTAAAGAGCTTGAAGTTCATCTGAAGGTCAAAGAAAAAAAAACTATAGATAAAGCTGCTAGTTTAATTAAATGAGACAAGGTGACCAAATGATTTAGAGCTGTTTGGTTAACAGATTAATTGCATTTCAAAGTCCTTTGATAATGAAGCCAAAAAGAGCACCACTATCAAGTTACTGTAACATAGAATGACAAAAAAATTTTTTTAATTTATTTGTTTATTTATTTTTATTTTTTATATATATTGCTATGTTGTGGAGACACTTTGGCTTATGTATACATCTTGTATATTTTATAAAAACACTTATTACATGAATTACTATTAATTACTAAATCAGTTTTAAATAACAATATTACAAATATTGTATTGAAATATAACAATTTTATTACAATTTTTATAGAATTATAAATATAAATTATATATATTTTAAATAAATGTAGGTTATATCAGTATGTTATGGAGTCTTGGATTTTGAAGAGACACTTGGGCTTAAAAATGTACATGTGTTATGTAATTATATATTTTTTAATTATTTATATATATATATATGTGTGTGTGTTTGCATTATATTTTATAAAAATCTATTAATATAAATATATTGTCAATATATTTATGATATGTACACATACATATTTATTGATTTTTTATCAAACATCATAGAAATCATTGAAATAAAAATAAGCTTTTTATTAAAATAAAAATATTAGGGAAAATATTTTTTAAAAATCTACAAAAAATAAGCTCATAAGCCTTCATAAATCCTTGTAAACAATACTATCCAAATTCAACAATTCCTAAATGTTCAGAAATCACACTCTCAACACTGTAAACAAACACACTGCAGATGCTGTTGATAAAATACTGCATAACTCAGTTGACACACCCACAGCCACATAGCCACGCCCCCTTTACTGCAGACACACCCAGATCACACACAGTGCAGCGTCATCTCAGCAGAGAAATGCAGTGATGCTTGTCAACAAGCTCAGCACCAGTGTCCCACTAACTCACACATGCACAGCCCAACTGCACAATTATATTGTCCTGCCACCAGTGGTGCTGAGTGCGGAGATAAAAATAGCACAGAGCATGCAGAGTAAGACAGATACACAGAGAGAAAAGCTAAAGAGACAGAGCAAAATAAAGAATGATGCCCACCCGCGGCTGACGCATGCCAGTTGGGAAATGCCAGGTGAAAACAGTCACACATGTTGGCTGTCTTCTGGGGGTCTTGTCCAGGCTGTCAGTACTGGTTTCTGGTGACGCACTGTTTTGGGAAGCCTTGTTCTCTTCCTCCGAGGCTGAAGAACCTGCTTCTTCCTTTTTCCTCTCAGTCAGTCACTCCAGATGCAGAGGACAAAATAAAGTCAGAGCTGGTGAACAGAGATAAAGTCAGTCTGACTTGGCATGCGAGGGAGGGATGGAGAGAGATGTCGTGCTCCATCCACACTAGTTCGTACTTCACAGGAGTGAGGCTGCACTCTACCCTGCCAGAATAAACTCGGTCTCTCTAGCACGCAAAAAAACGATTAAAGGGGGTATGGCTGACTTGGGACGGGGGGCTGTCCTAAACAATGCAAATCCCTCCTTCTAAGCATCTCACTCCATCCTTCTGATCACTTCTGACCAATTGCCGCAGAGACACTCTGGACCGTCTGACAGCTGATTGGTTTACAACACAAGAAAAATATTCCATCTTTATAGGCATGCGGCAGAGATGTGTACTTGGATTTGACACCACACAGTATATGTTTTCATGTCTGCTGGGTGACAGAAGAGGAAGTGAGGATGCAGTTTGTCAGGTGACTAGACTAATGTGTTTAAGAGCAAACTTCTGATAAATAGTTTTGTCTTATATAGGGTTACGAGACATGTCTGTGGGAATGTCTCCCCTTGTTTCTGCGCGACTCCGTCCTTCTGAGGATGGCCACTAAGACCATGGCTAAATGATTTATGATTTCATGTCTAAGAATAAAAAATGATCTCAGAAAGGTACCAGACTGTGACGTCAACCTGAGACCAGTTCAGCGCGCCGGATCGCCACACTATTTTATGGCCTTTGTGTATCTAAATCAAACCAGTTTAAAGAAGAATTTCTAGGTTTTTTTATTTTGATAGAAAAATTACAATTAAGAGTTCTTCAATATCTTACATGTTTCTACTAGGCAGCTCAGTTGGACATTTCCGCAGTCTCCTGCTTCTTAGAATTATTTTTAATTTTTTGAGATATCTAATAATCTTGTCTACATTGAAAAGATATTGACTTTGAAACAATTTTCACAAAAAAATTGCTAGTACATTTTTCAAATAATTACAAAGAAGCAGTAAGTAAAAACATGACAGGACATTTTGAAGTAGAAATACTATTTTCTTGCAAAACATATTCTTTATTTGTATCTTGCAGAACATTAATCTTTATTTACAAAAAAAAGTTGACTTTCAGTCAGAAGAGATCTGAACAATAGCTGTTTACATGCACCATGTAATCCATTTATAATCAATTTGATGGCTTAATCAGACTGAAAAGCCTTCATGTAAACACCTCAATTGATCTGAATGAAATTCCAGTTGGACTGGAAGGTATGTAGGCCTGAAATAATCTGATTGACAGAAAAAATTAAGCATGTAAACTCTTGAATCTAACTATCATCTAAATTGCAAATGCAAAGTGCTGTGATATGGACGTTTGCATACATTTTACATCTATCATTTAAAGTGTGTATATGTTTATTTATACCTCACATCTTAAAAACTGGTCAGTGGTGGAGTCTATATTATTTACTAAATATTTGCTAAAACATACATGTCAGCATTCTTTTTGCCATAAAGGCAAACAGGACAATTATACTCACGGTAACATTATCGAGGTGGCTTTCTCTAGTCACACATGGTGGCTGTCTTCTTTTGTTTGGAATACATGTAATGCATATGTAAATAAATATATGAATCAGATTGCTATGTTTAGGGTTCATAGAAGTGCATGCAAACATACCTAATGTCTCAAACTGTACTCAGATTTGCAGATAGCAAAGTCTGCCATCAAAAGACCGTAATCTCAGTATAAATTCAAACACTTATCAAATGCTTCCAAGACCAAATTATCTAAGTATGTTGATAACATTCATTTATAGCAAGTTTTTTTGTTTACTATGGTACTTTATAAAAATTTTATTTAATATATATATATATATACAAAACTTTTTTTTTTTTCTCATACATTTCAGAAGAAACATTTCCATTGGGCTAATCAATTTAGTTATTTTGTTTAGTGGCACACACACACACACACACACACACACACACACAGATAAGAAGATTGGACAGGTTTGTAAGTTTGTATGTATCCTTGAAATTAGGTCAATTAACATTCATATCATGAATTCTTGTCTGGATATGCAGTATGTCAGTTGTATTCATTTATTAGCAGCCTTATTAATGAACGAAATTACTATTTACTATTTAACAGTTTGAATCCTGTTAGAGGCTTTCTATAAAGTTTAGGAACGCTATTACTGCAGCAGAAAACAGCAAATCACAGGCATGTTTATTTGGCATGTTCACATTGCTCGTTATTTGTGATACATTATTAATTAAATAAACTTGTGATTGACAAATAAAACATGGGTTGAAGTTTAGAGTATTTATGTATAGACATATATTCCCTATGCATGTATGTATACACTCTTGATGTTCATTCTTCTGTCTTAGGGCCTTGTAAATAGAAGGATGTCTGTGTTTCATATGCATCACATATGTCCATCTCTCTTTATGTTTCTGCATCTGAGACAGGGAGTGGCAGGATGAAACTGCATTAGCCCCTGGCTGCTGCTCAAGAAACTCCACACCAAAATCAATTTAGGCACTTGAGAAAAACAGAATGTGCCCTGCCACCATCTTTGCTTACGCTTTTTCCACCAAGCTTCTGCAAAGACCTACCATCTTCAGCCATTATGCACTACAAATTCTGTGAACATTGAAAAGGTAATTCGTCCTCCAAATGATTTATATATATATATTAACATGCTCATAGATTGGAAAGTTTGAGTATGGAAGGAATCGAAAAGACTGTTGTAAGGTTTCTGCTGATAAGCAGATGCTTTTAATTTAAAGGGGTCATATGATGTTGCTAAAAAGAACTTCTTTAAATATGAAAACGCAGGCTAATTACAGTCTGTGTGTCAGAACAGCCGGCATTGTAGTCTACTCTACCAGGATCAGGAAACAGTCCTCCATAAAATGCACTGCACACATCTGAATATTTGGGTTGAACTGTTCTGGAACAGTGTTGTAAATACAACTTAACCACTGATTTCTAGTCGTGTCCTCTTTTGGAAGGCCAAACAAAGTAGTTTCGTTTTAACAACGAAACAGCGTCACACACTGCGGGCTAGAGTGAGCGGCGGCGGGCGGGTTTGCGGCAACCACATGTGACGACTCCGGGCTGGACTCCGCTTCGTCCGCGAATATCTCTTTGGATTTGAGACTTTAGTCTTTGAAATTAAAATCGCATCATATGACCCCTTTAATGCAAATAACACTTCACCATTGACAGAGATTGTGCTTCTGGAGCAACCTGTTGCTTTGGCTCAACTGACGTTATAAAGGGGAGACGCCATCTTTAATCCAAAGTGAATGAAAACAAGGCTAAATATGGTGTCTACCCTGATTGAGATTATTAGTACTATACTTTTTGGCTGCCTGTACCAGGAAGTGGACTGGTAGCTTTTTGTATATTAGTAGTCTCAAACTCTTGGCGCCAGGAAAGTAAATTGACCTTACAAAGTCTCCAGTTTCCAGGTCATCCTGCTTGAGGAAGGAGTTTTCAATATTTGCATTCAGTGAGTTTGAGAAGTTTTATACTTTTTTCAAAGTGACCTCAAAAATTAATCTCGTAAAACACTTTTTAAAACATTATGTGCCCCAAACTACTTGTTTCAATCTGACGCTGAACATAAATTTAAAATTTAAATAATTGTTTTCAGATTTTTACAATGTGAACTGTGAAGATATAAGGTCAGAGTATTTCCCATGCATTTAAGGGCATGTTTTGATGTTGTAAATGATAGTATATATAGAATGACATGAAAGTGGAGGGAGGGAGAGAGAAGGGGGAACAACATCAGGACATGAGTCACATGTCACAATATTATACTTTAAAAGAATATTCTTAAGTGCGAATAGAATGAACTGATTTTGGACACTTAACTGAATGTTAATTGCAATTAAATGAAAATGTATTATTTAGTTTATTTATGTTTATATTAAATCCAATTAGTTTTGAGTGTTTTTGAGTGTTCCAAGAACTTTTGAGTGTTTTTGTCTCCATAAAGCATGATATAATTACATTTTTAATTTGATTGAGGAATTTACACAATTAAATACACTTTTTAATTGTGTTAAGAAAGTCATGAAAGTGTACTCTCTGTAAGTACAATTATGTGGCCTGATATTTCATTAATATTATATTATCTGAAAGTGTGTTTTCAGATTACAATTAAGTGCACTTTTGGGATATCTGATCCTTTTAAGATTAAAGTTAATTCAGTGTAAAATACAGACTTTGACCTCATGCAGTAATGATAATCATGTATAGAGTGATGATTTAATCTTACTCCAAATCCACACACTCAATATTGCTAACATATTAAGGGAAATTGTGAATTAATTCCAAATACATCAAGAACTGATTGGATTGTGAACGGCGAGTGTTAAACTGTATAATGATGACAAGTGTTTGGAGGGGAAGGGTTGAAAAAAGTATGAGTGATTTGAGCATCTTCTAGCAGTACAGACCGAGTGCAGTGATTTCCAGCTCTGGAAGCTTTCTTTGTGATTAACTGTGTTCAGAATTTTGTGCATCTCACAGTGCAATGTATTTCTCTGATGATTGAACTGCAAATTAATATTCATTATTTTAATTAACTGCCAAACGATTTTTTTTACACTAAATTGAATTTAAAATGCAGCCCTTTTTAGCTCCAAAATGATAACACCACTATTCATGATGAGGTCATGTGACAACAATGTAGTGTGTCATGATTCAAACAGATTACATTTCCATTTTGGTGCTGTTAGAGGATTAGAAATTGCACACTGCACCTTAACAAAACTAATTAGACAGGTTTAATGGTTTCTTAAAAATGATTTAGGCTAATTTGATTTGTTTCCCTTTGTGTTAATCACTCAGTTCAGTTCAGAAAACCGCTGAACTTGAGTAAAGACATTCACTGTTCACTGAAAAAAAAAAAAGTATTTTAAGTATTTTTAATTTCAATAATTCTGAAAACCAATATCTATCTATTCAGTGACTCAGCATCTTGCTTTGTTGACCAGGCTAGAGGGATTTGATTTTTATTGTACGATTGCCCTCTAGTGGAGAAACACTAACAGTTCATCAAACATCACCTGGTCAATGCAGGAAGATATGAGAACTAATTACTACCAACAGAGTAGCATGGAATTATTTCTTTAACAAATCATTGTTCATTTTGACAGAAATTT